CCTTCTTGCCGTTCACCACCTGCATCAGACAATGGCAGGGTTTTTTTTTGGGGGGGGGGTTTCAGTAAGGGTTTTACGGCATTTGCAACACAATAAGGTCATATTTATATAAGTGTCGAAGATTAGAGATGTTGCAAGAGAGTAACAAATATTTAAAAAAGAAGGTGGAAAGATAAGGATGGTAGATGTTTGATAAGAAGGAAGGAAAGAACCACCTGCATGAGACAATGGCAGGTTTTTTGGGGAGGTTTTCAGTAAGCGTTTTACGGCATTTGCAACACAATAAGGTCATATAAGTGCCGAAGATTAGAGGTGTTGCAAGAGAGTAACAAACATTTAAAAAAAGAAGGAGGAGAGATAAGTATGATAGATGTTTGATAGGAAAGAAGGAAAGGGCTACCTGCATGAGACAACAGCAATGTGAGAGAGACAGAAATAGTGAACAGTTTTAGTAGAGGTTTACCGCGCAAGTGCCATAAAACTCTTGCTGAAACCTGATACTAAGACTCTCTCTTACCTTATCCAGCTCAAATCGGATGTCTCTCATCTTTCTGGACAGGTCAGTTACGGCGTTTTTGACGTGGGTGAAACTGAAGGCATTTTGTAGCACCCTAGGGGGAGAGAGGAAAAGGAGGGAAGGTGTTGATTCTTTATTATGAAGCAGTAAAGTTGCAGAGTATGGAGATATTTATCCGTCCATCTGACTATCTATCTATCTATCTATCTATCTATCTATCTATCTATCTATCTATCTATCTATGTGTATTCATTATCTTGCCAAAACAACAACAACAAACAAACAAACAAAACAACCATTCCCGCAACTAGGAAAAAACCCAACTAACAAACCCCTTCCCCCACCCCACCCCCAACAAAAAACAAAGAAAAAACAAAACAAAACAAAACAAAATCAAAAACAACAAATTAGATGAAGTGAAATGGAAATATTATTTTAAAATAAAGAATGATACAAAATATACAACCAATAATGCAACGTGCACTTACTAGTGATGGGCCGATACCACACTTTAAGTATCGATGACGATACCTAGTACTTTTTAAAGATATCGATACCGATACCAATACCTATAGGTATATAAGTATCGATACCTAGAATCGATACCTGCCCATCACTAGCACTTACCTTGGTCCCGTCTTTTCGATCAAAGTCTTCAGCTTGTGAAAATAGGACGGGGTGGGGTCAATGACCTTTTGACCTCCAGGCAGAGAAATGTTGGCGGTACTGAAGGTCGCTTCTAGAACACCCCGGATGTTGATCTGTGGATAGAGCATGTTGTAGTGACGTGTGTGTGTGTGTGTGTGTGTTTGTGTGTGTGTGTGTGTATGTGTGTGTGTGTGTGTGTGTGTGTGTGTGTGTGTGTGTGTGTGTGTGTGTGAGAGAGTGTGTGTGTGTGTGTGTGTGTGTGTGTGTGTGTGTGTGTGTGTGTGTGTGTGTGTGTGTGTGTGTGTGTGTGAGAGAGAGAGAGAGAGAGAGAGAGAGAGAGAGAGAGAGAGAGAGAGAGAGAGAGAGAGAGAGAGAGAGAGAGAGAGAGAGAGAGAGAGAGAACTAAAAAAAAGAGACAGACAGACAGACAGACAGACAGACAGACAGACAGACAGACAGACAGACAGACAGACAGACAGACAAAGACCGGGTCCCTCCTTTCTTACACTTGCCCATGTGATTGATGGGGTGGTCTCGTAGACTAGGCCTAGCGTGTTGGGTGACCTGGAAAGGACACCTTCGTTATACCAGAGAGTATTTAAAAGAGTCTCTAGTTCTACGTCACTATTTTTCTTAGGGAAACGTATCATCATGAAATCTTTCTTCTTGTCGTCATGGGTGGTTGGCGGGTGCACTGGAGTATCGTACGTAGTGTGGTTTATTCCGTCTTTCTTAGCAAACATGATCTGATCGTCCTTATCTCTCCTACTTTTATGTTAGTATGTGTTTTACGGCACTTGCAACACAGTAAGGTCATATTATAAGTGCCGAAGATTAGATTTGTTACAAGAGAGTAACATACGCAAAAAAGAAGGAGGAGAGATAAGGACGATAGATATTTGATTTGATAGTGAAGAAGGAGCGAACCACACCAGAGCGCCCTCCAACCCACCCACGTAGTGTGGTTTATTCCGTCATTCTTAACTAACGTGATCTGATTGTCCGTAACGTTATTATTCCTCTCGTACTACCTATGATATGTGGCACTTATTGCACCAATCTGCGTTGCAGTTGCTGTAAAACTCTTACTAAAAACTAAATCTAAACTATGAATATATTATGTATCTTGGATTATTCTGCGCGTCGACCGAAATCGGGAACCCAGTTAGCGAACGTGTTGTGCAGTGTGGGAAAAGGGGGGGG